TACCACTTCGACCAAATCCAAAAAATACACGTATGCATTTTCTGAATCAAATCCCTAAATGAACAAAATGTGAAAATGAGGTCTAAATTCATCGTCGAGGGAAAAAAATGGCGACGGCTTTGTACAAGACGACCACAAGCTCAAACCTTTACCACCACCACCACTCAATTCTTCCGCCGTTCTCACCGCCGTTTCATCTTCACCGTAGAACCAGCTTCTTACTCGCGACTCCTCTCCGTTTACGCCGCCTCGCTGTAGTTGGCGGTGGCCCTCCATCTCCTCCTAGTCCTGATCCGCCTCCGCCTGAGGACACCACTCAACTTGCAGGTTCGATTCTTCTTGCCCACATAGCTTTTGGATTTAAATTTGTTTTCTTTGTCACTTAAACAGGGTGTTATTGGTCGGAAAGATTTGATTTTTATTGATGCATATACTGCATAAGGATCTCGAGTGGGAATATTAAGCTATAGAATCGAGTTTCGTTTTTTTGGAATTGGTTCTTGGTATTGGATCGTTCTGAGATCATCATTGTGTTCATGAAAAGATCCAAAGGAGAAGATGATTTTATCAAATTAGGAACTAAAAGTTCACATCTTGTGGTCAATCAGGATTGTAGAATCTCGTCCTAGTGATCCAAAAGAGCAGCCATTTCTTGTGGAGATGTTCCTCTATATGTTGTGTTTGTTCTGCAATTAAGTCCCATGTGTATAGTATGTTGCATTGCTTGATGGTGGGTGATTCATTTAGAACATAGAAGAACATGCTATAGAAATAGAAATGAAATCTCTTCTTCTCCCGTTTCTATTTAGCTCCTACAAGACCTGTGATTCATTTACACTGGTCTTGAAACATATTTGGATTTGGAACTAGGTCTTGTAGGAGCTGTGACAAGGATTCAAGACCGCGTAAAGATCTTCCTCGCAGTGTTATTTTGGATGTCTCTCTTCTTTTGGGTTACAGTGACCGATGGGAGGGGTAAAGGAAAAGGGAAAAAAGGTTCACGTTTCAAATAATTTTCCCAAGTTTGGTGATTGATGATGATTATCATCAATACTCTACACTCTGTATATGATCAAAAAATACATGTAGAAATTCACCCAAGTAAGCATCTTTTCTTTGTAGATTCAGTTATTCAGATGATAGCAAATACATTACACATGATTATATGATATAATAGATATTATGAATCAATTGCTCTTAAATGAATCTCTTAGTAGAGTTTGGAGTTCATCTTTCTTCAGTTATGATGAGTGATTTTTAAGAGTTGACTTAAACGGCATCGTTTGTTGCTGTATTCAAATTATGAGCAAAACACGAATGGGCCATTGATGGGCCTAAAAAAAGTGTAGATTCCAAACGTTACCGGACTCCAAAGCAATATTCCATTACAGTTAATATATTTTCAAGAGTCGATATCTATTTGGCACGTGCAAGATACGAGTCGACAACGACGTGCCCTTTTTAATTGATGGCTTGTAACGTGTCGTCGTTACCATTAAGATGATAAATCGCATTATTTTACACCTAATTTGTAGATAGACACGTGTTTAAAATTCATTGGTTTGTTAGTGACAATCTGTGTTACTATGTGACTTTATCATGATGCTTCTTTGTGTACTAAAAAAGTCTTAAAAACCATGTTTTTAGTACAGAGAGAAACGAGCAGAACAAACTAACCCAAAAA